CATTGGTGAAAAAATACGAACGCCTGCTTCTGTTCACGGCAAGTCAGGAGAGTGCTGTTCAGCAGGTTTGTTAGACTGGATCTCCCAAACAAACACTGCCCATGAGCCAGGGGACCCTGTGACAGATCCATCTGTATAGACTGGGATTGCTGGTTCGTCTGCTTTGACTTTTTCGTGGAATTACCTGTTCGTATGCCCCTGTTCGGCCTCCCTTCTCAATCGACAAAAGTGTACGAACACTGGCCGTTCGGGAGTTTGAAACGCACGAATGGACTTAACCCAGATAGCCTTCCCATGGAGTCAATCGCATACCGAAAGACTGGAATAGACTTTGACTCCATGGCGATTGAACTATGCGTATGGGATCTGAGCGCTATTCGCTAATAATATGCACTCAGATCCAGGCTATCTGGGGATGTGTTACACGAATGAGAAATGTTCGACAATTGTCTGTCTGCCATTACAGTCTCCCATTTGGTCCCCTAGGGGAGTGTCCACCAAGTGGGAGACCTGCATAAATACGGGCGGGTAGCCCACAGTAAACCCAGTTCATGTTTTACCCTCATTATTGGTCTCATTATTGGAGGGGAATTTACTACACGAATAGCGACTGCCGGATGGAATTATTGGCCGCTTGGTAGATATATGGTTTCGGCTGTTAGCAGCGATTCGTGAGTTACTGACTGGGAAGCGAAGTACCCGTACGGGTCCCGTTCGGGAGATTGGAGTATTCCCCTGCTTGCGGTTCGTATGATTGGAGGTAGTACGAATGCAGCTTGCGTTATGGTGAGAGGGGAGGATTAACTAAACGGCGGTTTTGACTATTTGATGCCGAGGGTGCCGTTACAATTGGTGGCAAGCGACGGGATGACCCTAGTCGCCCAGAGAGACAACTACATACAGGATTAATGGAAATACCGTATGAAAGGTTAAAGAGAACTACCCTTAAAGACTTGCTGGAACAGAGAGGCAGACAAGCCAGTAATCTCAGGAAAAGAGAGATTATCGCCATTTTGAACGAAATGGATGGAGTACCAGGAGCTGAAGGAACCAATGGGTCCAGCACAGCTGACAGAACACCCGAAGAGGCAAGTTTTGACCGGGTGGTAAGAATCAGGCTGGCCCATTATGGTCCCAACCCGACTATAGAGATCATTGACTGGGTCATAGCCGCTGTGGAGGCCAACCTGCTTCGCCAAAGCGGTGCTGAAGCAGCCCCAGTCCCAGCAGACCCAGTGGAGAAAAGGAAAGTACCATTTACAGCGTTTAAACTGTTTCTGGAGACAGAAGGAAAGATTGATGGGTACCTTGCTGATTTTGAGCGGCAATGTGCGCTACACAAGGTACTCCCAGACTGGGTCACTATATTGTCAGGCAAGTTATCCGGCCGGGCCAGTGACGCTTTTCGGGCCATTCCAGATGAGGAGATTGGAGACTATGTAGCAGTGAAGGAAGCTTTACTCTCCAGGTATGCCGTTACACCGGAGGCATACAGGAGGCGGTTCAGAGACACTGCCAAACTAGTTGGGGATTCTTATGTTGAATGGGCATGTAAAGTGCACCGCACAGCTGCCCACTGGATGGCAGGGTGCCAAGCTGTATCCGGGGAAGAAGTGCTGCAGATGTTCCTACTGGATCACTGTTTTGAGAAATTATCCCCAGGGGTCAGAGAGTGGGTAAGGGGCCGTAAACCCTCCACTCTACATGAAGCAGCTCGCCTGGCAGATGAGTACACGGATGCCCGTAAACTGGACAGTGCCATGGGTAAAACTCCTGCCAGAGTAGAGTACCGCCCAGCAGAACCCGCTCCAGCTACCATCTACCAACCACCGACGCACCGGCCATCCGCACCCCCTCCAGCTAATAACTATTACCAACCACCCCGGTTCAACTCCCGGGACTACTCCCAACTTATCCGTTGTTTTGGGTGCAAGCAGCTAGGGCACAAATGACCAGAGTGCCCACTGAATAACGCTAACCAGAACCAGTCCTGGAGGAGACTGACCAGCAGGAACCAACGGGCCCCTCAGCCTGCTGTCCACTGCGTAGAGGAGGAGGAATGTTGGGGCGTCCTACATGAGGCAGACCCTATTCAAGCTGCCCACTGCAATAACCGCCAACAACACCGGCAACTGATCAAAGTAAATGGGAAGGAAGTCAGTGGTGTGCGGGATACCAGGGCAACCATGACATTGCTCCAAAAGCACTTAGTGCCAGAAAATCAGCACACTGGGGACACTGTGGCTGTGAGAGTAGCCGTAGGCGCTGTGTTTCGCCTACCCGTTGCCCGGGTACATTTGGATTGGGGAGTGGGCGCCAGACATGTGAATGTGGGGATCATGAGGGACTTACCAGCTGATGTCCTTCTTGGAAATGACTTGGCCCCCCTTGTGTCGGCCTACGCTCCCATGGGTCCCACTGAGGTGAACGCTGTCACGACCCATGCCCAGACCCATGCCCAGACCCATGCCGCCGAAACCGGACCACCTGCTGCTGAGACCTAGGTAAGACTCTCTACCCCGACTTGTACCTTAGATCAGGCCCCTTTAGGCTGGGATACCCCAGAGATGTACGGGAGGGAAACCCGGGAAAACTCGACTCTAGAGAAGTATAGGGCCAGGGCAGATACTGGGGAAGAGGGGGTCGATGGGGAGCGTTACGAGTGGGTGAGGGATAGGCTTTACAGGATCCCTAAACCATCCCAGAGACCGAATACCCCTCCGCAGAATCGGAGTACCGGCAGGAGATTCTGCGGATTGGGCATGATGTGCCATTAGCAGGCCATCTAGGCTCCCGCCGCACAGCTCATAGGATCACCCAAAATTTCTTCTGGCCTAATTTCAACCGAGACGTGCGGGTCTATTGTAGTACGTGCGACACATGTCAACGGGTAGGTAAACGGCCCAAAGACTAGGCTCATATCGATGCCTGTCATTGGAGAACCCTTTTCCCTCATAGCCGTTGACATTGTGGGTCCACTGGCCAGGGCTAGCCCATCCGGTAAGAAGTAAATTCTCACCGTGGTGGACTATGCCACACGCTATCCAGAGGCAGTAGCGCTGTCTAATATAGAGGCAGAGACAGTGGCTGATGCCCTGGTTAAGATTTTAACTAGGGTCGGGTTCCCTCAGGAGATCCTCTCCGACCAGGGAACCCAGTTTACCGCTGTGCTTACCCAGCAGCTGTGGAAGGTGTGCTGCTTAGCTCACCTTATCACCCACAGACTAACGGTCTCTGTGAGCAATTTAATGGCACCCTCAAACAGATGTTGAGGACCTTTACTGACACTTGCAGAGAGAGAGGTGCCCCATCTACTGGGTTCTCTCCCTTTGAGCTACTCTATGGGAGAAGGGTCCGCGGACCCCTAGATCTCATTAGAGGACACTGGGAGGGAGAGACAGAGCAAGAGGGAACCCCCATCGTGCCATACGTTCTGGAACTCTGGGACCGCATGGAGAAACTGTCCCTGATGGTAAGGGAGAATCTGCAGACGGCCCAGGGGAGACAGAAGAGGTGGTACGATCGGGGTGCCCGACAGCGGGTCTTCCAGGTTGGGCAAAAGGTTCTAGTGCTCAAGCCTGTGAAGACGAACAAGATGCAAGCATCTTGGCAGGGCCCGTATAAAGTGTTAGCTCAGGTGTGTGATACTACCTACCTTATGGCCAGCTATGCAGATGAAAGGATTCAGCGATCCTTTCATGTGAATATGCTGAAGGAGTATCAGGAGAGACCAGAAGATGTCGCTGCAGTGTGTGCCCCGGCTGCCGACGACCCCGAGAATTTACCCCTGCCCGACTTATTAGAAAAGGACCCCCAGACTGATCTCACTAGTCTTGTACAGCTAGGGGAACGGTTAAACCCCACAGAGAAGGTACAGGCAAGACAGCTTCTGTGGGAGAAGCAGGCGACGTTCTCCCAAGAACACTACCCTAGCTGTACACAAGGTAGAGACCCCCGGACAGAGTCCCTTATGACAGCCCCCCTATCGTATCCCTGAAGCAGTCCGGGAAGGAATGCTGAAGGAGATACAGGAGATGACCAGGCTTGGAGTCATAGAACACTCAGACAGCCCTTGGGCCTCGTCTGTGGTTCTAGTGCCTAAGAAAGATGGGACCACCCGGTTCTGTGTGGACTACAGGCGGCTCAACGAGCAGACCACCACTGACGCCTACCCGATGCCCCGGGTAGACGAGTTATTAGACAGCATTGCCAGGGGGCGCTATCTGACCACCATAGACCTGTGTAAAGGTTATTGGCAGATCCCCCTGGCCGAGGACGCTATCCCTAAGTCGGCATTCGTCACCCCATTTGGTCTGTACCAGTTTAAGGTCATGCCATTTGGGATGAAGAATGCTCCGGCTACCTTCCAGCGTATGGTGGATAGGCTTCTCGATGGCTTCCAGGAATTTGCTTGTGCATACCTGGGTGACATTGCGGTCTACAGTGAGTCCTGGGAAGAACACGTAGTACACGTAGGGGTGATTCTGGACAAGATTCGCGCCGCTGGCCTGACCTTGAAGCCAGGCAAGTGCCATCTAGGCATGGCAGAAGTACAGTACTTGGGTCACAGAGTAGGATGTGGGAGCCAGAGACCAGAGCCAGCCAAGTCGAAGCTGTAGCTACATGGCCCACACCTATCACCAAGACCCAAGTGCTGGCCCTCCTGGGAACAGCAGGGTATTACCGACGCTTTGTCCCCGACTATAGCACTATTGCTAAGCCCCTGACTGACCTGACTAAAAAGAACTTACCTAAGCAGGTTCTGTGGTTTCCAGCTTGTGAAGCTGCATTTCAGGCATTGAAGCAAGCTCAGGTGAATGCCCCTGTCCTGGCTGCCCCAGTCCCTAACAAATGCTTTCTCGTTCATACAGATGCTTCCATGTATGGACTGGGGGCTGTGCTGAGCCAGGTCGGGGAAGATGGAGGAGAGCACCCTGTCGCATATCTCAGCAGAAAGCTACTACCCCGGGAAGTGAGTTATGCGGCAGTCGAGAAGGAGTGTTTGGCCCTGGTCTGGGCATTAAAAAAATTGAGCCCCTATTTGTACGGGCAGGAGTTCTCTCTTATCACGGACCACAATCCCCTTGTCTGGCTTAACCGGGTCTCAGGAGACAATGGTAGACTGCTGCGGTGGAGCTTAGCATTACAACCTTACAACTTCACCATCAGCTACCGACCCAGTAAGCAGAACGGGAATGCGGATGGATTGTCCCGGCAAACCGACGTCCCTATTACCTCCTCGTCCGGTCATCCCCAAGTTGACCCGCCACAGGGTCAAGCCGGGTTTGCCGGAGTATCCCACAAGGGGGGAGCCGTGTGACAGATCCATCTGTATAGACCGGGATTGCTGGTTCGTCTGCTTTGCCTTTTTCGTGGAATTACCTGTTCGTATGCCCCTGTTCGTTTATTTGACTTTTCTGCCGAACAAAACTACCGAACGGACGGCCACCCAGAAGAGAAGTGTGCTGCTGGTTAACCTCTAGATCCCAATTAGATCGTTGTGGTTAACTGCAGACACCTCTCAATTAAAACCGAATGCAGGGTGGTCGTCGTTCGTATGTCGACCACGAGACGGCGGCCATTTTAAACAGGCGAAAGACCAGCGGTGTTTGGCCCAGATTCTATGGAACTGAAAACGGACACTTTTTCCGCCGAACACCGCTAAAGCCACCGACCTCCCTTCTCAATCAACAAAAGTGCACGAACACTGGCCGTTCGGGAGTTTGTAATGCACGAATGGACTTAACACAGATAGCCTTCCCATGGAGTCAATGCATACCGAAAGACTGGAATAGACTTTGACTCCATGGCGATTGAACTATGCATATGGGATCTGAGCGCTATTCGCTAATAATATGCACTCAGATCCAGGCTATCTGGGGATGTGTTACACGAATGAGAAATGTTCGACAAATGTCTGTCTGCCATTACAGTCTCCCATTTGGTCCCCTAGGGGAGTGTCCACCAAGTGGGAGACCTGCATAAATACGGGCAGGTAGCCCACAGTAAACCCAGTTCATGTTTTACCCTCAATGCGGAGCTTGGTCTCGTTATTGGAGGGGAATTTACTACACGAATAGCGACTGCCGGATGCAATTATTGGCCGCTTGGGAGATATATGGTTTCGGCTGTTAGTGGCGATTCGTTAGTTACTGACTGGGAAGTGAAGTAACCGTACAGGTCCCGTTCGGGAGATTGGAGTATTCCCCTGCTTGCGGTTCGTATGATTGGAGTTAGTACGAATGCAGCTTGCGTTATGGTGAGAGGGGAGGATTAACTAAACGGCGGTTTTGACTATTTAATGCCGAGGGTGCCGTTACAGACCCGTTCACCTTTTTACCCATTCACCTTTTTATTAGTTTAAAAACTCTCGAACTAGACCGACAGCTACCTCTGAAACTATGGAACTATTTTGGGCAAGCCTCTCGAGAGCGGTTGGTCAAATCCTCACCCCAGTGCCGATTCGACAATGTTCGTGGGATCTGAGCGCTTTTCGGTTATGTTGGGTGCTCAGATCCCAGCTATCTGGGGATGCATGGACTATAGGGGTTTGGATATGCGAAATATGACTTTATGTATTTTAAAGTATTTTTGGAGTTTTGTGAAAAAGTTAATGTTTTCTGTACCTGGAGATAATTCAGTTTACTACAGTACATAACCCAATTATCTCCCAGGTGCAGAGGAGGGATTACTCTATTTTATGTGGGAGTGTCCTGGACCAGAGCCAATCCCATTGTGTGATTGTTTGTACTGTAGTCTACTCTCAGGTCCAGGCGGGAGTTCCCCTTGCATGGGAACCTGCATAAAAGGCCAGCTTTACCCCTTCATGAAGTCTTGGCTCATGTTTGGGGGATTGGGAGTTATAATCACTACAACTTCTTCTATGCTTGGATTTCAGGAGATTCTTCATGGATATACTCAGTCGGAGTATAGGGGATTCTTATAAACTGCTTCCACATTTACACCAAGCGAGTCTCAATAAGTAAGATGTGCTTTAAATGGTGTATTTTTCCCACATATAGCGCACGTCCCGACATATTTACTTTACAACCAGAAGTATTTCACCTTCAAATAATTCCCACTACTCTTCACATCCACACAAAGATAAAATATATCTCCAGAAATGAAAATGGAATCGCACACCATCCAACAGATTCTAAAAAACACTAAAAAGCACAACCTAAAAAATACAAGGGGAGACCAATAGTGCAGACTAAAAAATAAAAAACATACCATAAAAAATTAAAATGCACTCACAAACAAAGATGTTAGTAGGCAGGATATAAACAGTCTTCTTAAAATGCTTCGTCTCTTCTTAGTGTAGAGATAAATGCTTAAAACAAAGCACAAAGACAGACCATAGTGTATAACTGTATAGTATTAAAAATGTAACTTTATTGGATACACTTACAAAATAACAGTAGTAATCAGGCTCTTCAAATCAAAATTCAATGTCTTCCACCAAAAGTATAACCCTCAGGATATAAAGAAGAATGGAGACAGGGGAGATGAAGAGATCCTCAATGAAATATTTATACAAACAAAGCTTGCCACCCTACGCGTTTCGTCTTATTGACTTCATCAGGGGCTTGTAGCAACACAAAATCAAATACAAACATATACACACTTAAATATCCTGCCTTTAAAAGTCTTTAACCAATCCTGAAGGTGCCTTCAATCGGACACATCTGTAGTTGATCTCCTCCGTCGGGTTTCATTGTCCTTTCGCGCTTTTAGAGGCGCGTGCGCTCCAAGCCTCGTTTTCACAAAAACGGAAGTCCTGGTTCATCTGTATCTGGAACGCAAATGCGTTCCACTTCTATCCGGAAACCGTAAGGAAGGCTTGAATTGGAGCGCACATACATGTCGGTCCCTCCGAAACCGGAAATGAAGTCCGAAGTGGAAATCAAAATAGGTTCCACTTCTTATAAATATGGAACACTCATACATTCCGAAGAAAAAAGTTATATCAAAAACAATAAAAAGATGTAAAAACGAAAAATAACATTAAAATGGATAAAACAAATATATTGTATCATCTACCATAAAAATACTAATAATAATAAATACAAAAGCCAATTACAAAAAACATGCCATATTAAAATCTACATTCATACCTTCTGGTTGCATTGTTTTTAAAGTATGAATCCAAAAACCTTCTCTTTGCCTTAATTTAAGTACCAGATCTCCACCTCTCGCATCTAAAGACACCTTTTCAATCCCAATACACAAAAAAGTACTTGGATTAAAATTCTGACATCTATTGCAGTGAACGGGAACTGAATGGGTTAATAATTTATTTTTAATATTATTAAAATGTTCTAAAAATCTTTTTTTCACTGGTCTGATAGTCCGTCCGACATATTGAGTTCCACAACCACATGTAAGGAGATAAACTACATGTGTGGAATTACATGTAATATGTTCTTTGATTTTAAAATTCTTTTTAGTTCTTAAGCTAAAAAAATTATAAAACTTTTGGTTCTTATAATGACAACTTTTACATGAACCACAGGTATAAAACCCCACAAGTTTTTGTGCTTCTTCTTTACTACCGTTTCTAAAGGTGCTTGGTGCCAAAACATTTTTAAAATGTTTCCCTTTTCTAAAAATAATTTGTGGGACAGGAGGGAGTTCAGTTTTTAAAAAATCATCTTCTAATAAAAGAGGCCAATGTTTCTTTAATATTTTCTTAATATCTTTAGCATGAGTATTGTACTGAGTATTAAAAGAGAAGGCAAATTTATTATTAACCAATGGGACTCGTTTTTCCTTATTTCATAGTAAATCTCCTCTCTCTTTGTTATAGGAATGCATAATCTCCTTATTTATAAAATTATTAGCATATCCCTTTTCTATAAACTTATTTTTAAGGAAAGAGGCCTGGTCTAAAAAGGTTTTTCCATCTGTACAATTCCTCCTAATTCTTGTGAATTGACTTCGTGGAACACCACGAAGCCAATTGGGATGATGGTTGCTCTCTGTGTTGATATAACTGTTTAAAAAATGTTTTTGTCTTTATCTTTTCATCGTCAATAAAAATAGTCAAATCTAAAAAATTAATCTCATTATGACTAAAAATTGGAGAAAAAGTTAAATTAACTTGGTTAGAGTTAATATAATCAATAAAATCTAATAAACTACTTTCGGAGCCATCCCATATAAAAAGAATATCATCTATATACCTTCTCCAGAATACCAAGTTCGCGCCGAATGGGTTGTTCGTCCATATAAAATTATTTTCCCAAAAATCTAAAAAAAATTAGCATAACTCGGCGCGAACTTGGTACCCATGGCTGTTCCTTGTAATTGTAAATAAAAATCTTCATTAAAAGAGAAAAAATTATGAGTTAGAATAAAATGAATAAAAGAATAAAATGAATACTATCTAATAAAAGTTACATTTTTAATACTATACAGTTATACACTATAGTCTGTCTTTGTGCTTTGTTTTAAGCATTTATCTCTACACTAAGAAGAGATTTTAAGAAGACTGTTTATATCCTGCCTACTAACATCTTTGTTTGTGAGTGCATTTGAATTTTTTTATGGTATGTTTTTTATTTTTTAGTCTGCACTATTGGTCTCCCTTTGTATTTTTTAGGTTGTGCTTTTTAGTGTTTTATATTTATGATATTGAAGACATTGAGGAGTCTTTGCACCTCCTAATTTGGAGTATTTATATTTTATATAATTTTTTCCCCCGTTTGATAGCCACAAGGGTTGTTTTGCATTGTTTGCAAATCACCATATTTTGTCTGTAGATTCTAAAAAACACCCGGGATCATTGCATATCTTAAAATTTCCAAATTAGATATTTTTCCTCAGCTTTTCCCTTCATATTTAATTTGCAAGTATTCAGAGTTTGGTAAATAACTCTGTTGTTATAATTTCCTCATCTTCTAAAGCGACCTATAAGATCTGCTGCAAAACATACTTACATCCACCATGTTCCTATTTAGGAGGAACAGTTCCTATGTTGTATCCAAGTCCCTCTGTCCCTCTCTTCTAGGAGCTCTGTATCGGTGGGTCTGAGTGTATAACAGAGCTCCACAGCAATAATACTCCCAGTAATGTGTCTGAGTGTATAACAGAGCTCCACAACAATAATACTCCCAGTAATGTGTCTGACTGTATAACAGAGCTCCACGGCAATAATACTCCCAGTAATGTGTCTGAGTGTGTAACAGAGCTTCACAGCAATAATACTCC